GTAGGCACATCCTAGAAGCCTCCAGGTGTAACGGCAAGGCTTTAGTGACTGCACGGTCTCCCCCCTGAGAGGGGGGACCAGATGGACGTGTCGCCCCGAGCCAAGGAACGCAAATTGCAGAGCTGCAGGCTCGAGTCTCTCGCTTGGAGGCTCAGACCACTGCCCTGCAGGCTCAGCTTCAGCCTCTCCTCGAAGCCGAGCGTAGAGCTGCCTCAGCCTTTCAGCCTCGTCAGCAGAATCCGTCGCAAACTTTTGATTTGCTGCGTCACCGGTTGCTGCATTTTGAGGGTTGCTTTCAATTCTTGGTGCAGGCTTTGTCGCAACGGTTTCCAGGAACTCGCTGGCAGTCTCTTGAGGAAACATAGGCAACCATGGCTGCTTTTAACATGGAGCAAAGGCAGCTGCGCTTGCAATCCCGTAGCAACCCCTCTACGGAACCCTATCCACTGGATGTGCCAGTGCCGCTTCCGCAGCAGCCCGCGTTGTCAGCCTCAGATCTTCATAGGGGAGGGGAGGCAGCTGAGGCTTCGGATCCTGGTGAGGTTCATGTGAATGCATCGGTGAGGTCCCTTTCGCTAGAGTCTCAATTTGACGGGAAAAGTTTGGGTCGGTCTTCTGGAGGGGCTCCAGCCGAGCCGCTATTAGAAGACGATGCTAGAAGTGTTTGCTTGGAGCCGCTTGAGGCGGCCGCTGCAGCTTTCAGGGGCGAACTCACAATCCCTTGGGGTTTAGGTGGTGCACCCTCTCCCGCCCCGAATGATCTGGAGTCTGAAGACAATCCCTTGACAGACCTGTTTGATTCCGAGTCGCATTGGTGGGACCAGGTGAGGGACCGGAACCCTGCATCAGCTTCCATGCCTATGCCAGATCCTCTCGCTGGCCGCAGGGTCGATTTTGCATCTCCTCTTAGGAGTGCTTACCAGGTTCCCTTGGCCACGGCTGAGCCCGAAGGCTTTGCTCAGCCATGGGACGAGGGGGTCTTCGGGGTCATCTTTGGGGATAAAGACTTCTTAGATTTTCCTGTTGCAAAGCTGGGCCCTACGTTTTTACCAGGGGAAGGAAGCCAGTCGTCTGAGGTCGTGGAAATGCCATCCAAGCGCCTCAAGGTTGTGCACAAGGATGTTTCCTACTCCCGAGTGGTTAAATCTAGAGCGGCTGTGGACCGGAAGCAGCAGAGGAGTGCCCAGCTTGAGATAGGACTGCAAACCTGGCTTGAGCTGGTGTTGAAGTGGGGACCTTGTGTGCTGACTTCCCATGTCGAGGCTTGCACGAACAGATGTGATCAGCTGGAAGTGATAGGAGACATTCTCAAGGGAAAGGCTCCCTCAACCATTCTGAAGCGAGCCAGGGCCCTCATCTTGTTGCAGGATTTTCTTAAAGAAAGGGACTCGGTCTTCCCCTGCGCGGAAGAGGAGGTTTACCAATTCCTGAAAGTTCTTGAGAGGGACAAGGCTCCGAAGAGTCGAATAGCTTCGGTCATGGAGGCGTTGAATTTCACTCTTCATGTGGTCGGCGTATCAGAGCTACAAGGGGTCTGTCAAAGCCGGCGATGCAAGGGCTTGTGCATCACGGA